TGATAGAAAAATCTTAATGCCGATGGGGCGAGCCGTCATAACGCCGATGGATGTATTTCGTACCGCTCCGTGGAGAGGAGGCAAGAGCCAAGATGCGCCCCTCCCCACCGGCTTTGATGCCCTTTCCGGCACAGATTCACCGGACCATCGGCTAACTTGGCATGAACATCACGGAACCCAACGGCACAGTGACACGAGTGTTAGCACCGCCCTTTTCCTTGTCGGTTTTCGCAGTGTTTCCACGGCGGTATGGGACCATCGGAAGTGGATCATCTACTCGACGGCCTCGGCTCGAATCCACAAGGCCAGACGGCATGACGGATAGCACTTCGGGGGTGCCGCGGTATGCGTGTATCGCGCGCACACTTCTTCCCATACCTGAGGATACCAAGGCTCTAACCAATGCTCTAAAGGTGTGGTAAAGGTCGTGTTTGCAACTAGGTTTTTGGTTGGCTTGGGTTCACACATCACTATCAAACGAAGGTGGTTCTTACATGAGACGAACGGAACATGAATCGTGCTTGCATACAGGCTGACCAACTGCCCCAACATCTTGGACGACAGCTGTCGCGGCAAGTTATTAACAGCAACTCTTTTTCATCTTCGACTCCGCAACATGGCGGAGTTTCAATGCCATGCGAGAACGAGATGAGCTTCAACACGACAAGATGCATGTCCCCCGTACGGATACTCTAATTCGCAACGGATTTGAGGACGTTTCTTCTTCCGCCTGCTCAGAGACCTGAAGCCTATCTTGAAAACAGACATTGTCTCTTCAGACGGCCGACCGTCCCGGTTACTGGGGTTTCTGTCCCCAAACCGACATACTACATCCATCATCGTCAGCGCGAGTAAAAGATACCCATCAAACGAGAAGAGGAGACTCACATCGTGATATACGCGTGGATATTCTTATCCGCCATATCCTTCCTCACATCCATCAGCAACATCTCGGCATCCTCTCGACTCCAGCCCAGCACCTGGCAAAAGATCTTCATCGTGATGCCTTGCACCCCCTCGAGGTTATTCGTCATCTGCATGGCCCCCAGGATCTTTTGGTTCCTCCCCTTTGCCCAAGGCGATGCCGGCACCGCAAACCTCTTCTGCTCGACGTTTTGGAACCCCGCGTCCGTCATGTGTCGCGCGTACTCAAAGGCAGAAAGCGCGTCCCGCCCGGCCTTGCGGATTCCCTCGAGCAGGTGATCGTTCCACCGCCGCAGCGCCGTACCCTCGAGCGACCCGTCCACGGCCTTGAAGTCGATGGCGGTCTCCTGGAACTCGACCCAGCCGCCCGGGTTGAGGTTCTCGTAGATCTGCCCAAAGAGTTTGGGAAGGTCAAAGATGGAGGTGCACATGTACCGGCCGTGGACGTAGTCGAATTTCTGGCTAAACGCCCACTCGTCCTCGGCGTCGTCGATTTCGAAATGGCAGTTGGCCGGCACGTAATCCGGCTGGATGGGGCTCAGGTCCGTGCCGAGGACCTCCGATGCCGGGTACCTGTCGGCGAACTCGATGGCCCAGATGCCGGTGCCTGTGCCGATGTCGAGGACGCGGTGGGGGTTGGAGACGGGGGCGAGGCCGAGCTTGTCGTTGAAGATGCGCAGGGCGATGGCGTGTTGGAGGTCTAGGCGGCTTTGCTCTTGCTCGGGGGTGTGTTAGTCTCACTCACGGGCTTGGCAATATCGCATGTAAGGGGGCATCGCAAACCTCATCATTGGGGAGGAAGTATTCTGCGGGCGAGGTGTCAGTCAGCAGGCTTCCAAAAGGTAAGTTTCTGCATGCGGTCGCGCCAACTTACTTCCTTCTTTATACGCGTGATATGTCCTGCCAAACTCTTCCACGAAGCGATACACGCTCGACGCCACCGAGGCGGACGAAGAGGCGCGGCCAGGATCAATTCCCATGGCCGAGTCGGCGTCGCTGATGTCCGTGTCGATGCTTAGCGACACAGAAGTGCTGCTGTCAATATGCGACGCATTGAGCTCGTCGAGCGCGCTCGACGTAAGTCTGCTAGACCGGTCATCGTCAATCGTCGATTGCGCCGTCAAGATGCTGCCTTGCTCTTCGTTCGGTTCGCTGATATCCTCTGCCGGCGGCTCGTGCCTCTCGTCTGTTCCGCTTGAAGCTTCCATTGTCAATTATATCAATGACTACAGATGCTGCAAGTCGCGACACTTCTGAATGCGAGGCTGAGCTGAACAAAAATGTCGCAAGCGCAGAGCGAGCCTGACCCCCATACCCGAAAGCTGACCTTTTCCGGAGTCTATTCGACCATGGCGTCAGATTCCCTTATCTGGCAGTGTCTGTCTGGTTTCCTCCAATTCCAGCCGAGGGGGTTCTGCTGGTACCGAATCCGCTAAGAGGTCGAACCCCCCGCGAGACTCATCTTAGCGGCGAGCGAGCCCGGCGAATCAACATCCGAGACATCAAGTCACCAGTGTCTAGATGATGACGCTAGACTCGATAGTCACTCTTGCAGGTTGGAGAATTCCTGCTGAGCTGCTGCATCTGTTCAGGCGCATGACGTGCATTTTGCCGATGCCGATGCGGGACAAATGTGAGGATCTGCCTGCATAAAAGGCTTTGTGAGTTTCTTGTGTTACCAATCGTCAGAATTTGCTGCACTTACATGGAATTTCTGGAACTTCGGTAGGTAGGTATGGGGAAAGTAAATCACATGTTAAGACCATCTTTACTCACATACTGTTCACACGTATGAATCTTGAAGGAAACATGACAAGAGCAATTAGCTGGCTTAATTGACTAAACTTAACCCCAAATACGGCACCAAAGTAATTGCAATATCTAGAAGGGCATGGGCAACTTCGGAACATACGGTTCCTCGAGATACTTGACCTCTTCCTCAGAAAGCTCAACCTTAAAAGCGCCCACTGCCTGATCAATCCTCTCCTTGGTCTCCAAACCGCAAATGGGCATGCACCCCTTTGAAATAAGCCACGCCTGCGCAACCTGCGCCATACTCACGCCCTTCTTCCCCGCCAGCTCCTCGACGCGCCCGACAATGGCCCTGTCGGCGCCGTTCTCCGCGCCGCGGAACAACATCTGCAAAAAGGGGTCCTTTTGCTCGCGCGGGTCCGAACGGTCGGTCCACGCGTGCGTGAGGACGCCGGCAGCGAGGGGCGACCAGGGGAAGAGGCCGACGCCGGTGGCGTTGCAGTAGGCGTTCATCTCGCGCTCTTCTTCGCGGTAGAGGAGGTTGTAGAGGCCTTGCATTGAGATGAATTGGTGCCAGCCGTTGCGGGCTGCTACGTTTTGGAGCATCTGGAATTCCCAGGCGGCCATCTGCCGATTGTTAGTAACATGAAGGGAACGGTGAGAGAAGTGTCCTTGTCGAAGACTCACTGAGCTGGCGCCAATGTAGCGGACCTTGCCACTCTCAATAACATCGTGAAGGGCCTTCATAATCTCCTCGGGGGGCACGTCGCGATCCATCCTGTGGATCTGGAGCACGTCAATGTAGGTGCCGAGACGCTCAACGCTACGGTCCACCGCCTCGAGGATGTGCTTCCTCGAGAGGCCAACCTGGTTCACGCGGGGTCCTTCATTGCTGGTCAAGTTGGCCGGGTCGATGGGCCCCTTGTTCTCGTCGACGAATTGAAAGCACTTGGACATGACGACGAGCTTGGAGCGCGGGATGTTGTACTCCTTGATGGCGGCGCCGACGATTTCTTCAGAGCGGCCGTTGGAGTACGTGTCGGCCACGTCCCAGGTGTTGATGCCGCGGTCAAAGGCGTACTTGAGGATGGGGAGGGCCTCGTCCTTGTCGAGGAGCCAGGGCTGCCAGTTCTTGTCGCCGAAGCTCATGCAGCCGAGGATGATCTGGGAGACTTTGAGGCCGGATTTGCCCACGCTATAGAGAATGTTAGAGACATTTGCTTAGGGTAGTAGGAATATGTGAAGAGCCTACCGCACATATTTCATAGACTCCATGATGAAAGAAAGCTGGGTATTGATGTAGAGAGTGAGGTGAGCGATAGTTCAAGACGATCAGAAGAAGCTCTTGAGCGTGTAAGAGGGTGTAAGAGGGTGTGAGTGATGTGAAAGCTGGAGTTAGAGAAGGGATTCTCATCATGGTCCAGCAAGCCCTTTATACTTGTCTGCCCAAGACAAGAGCTCCAAGAGAAATATCATTGAGTACACCAAAAACCATCCCTCTCGTCGACTTACACGTTCGCTCTCGGCATCACAGCATGGGTATTGCCCGCATCTCCGGGCCCGGGCACCGACTCAAGACCCACAAAATAATCCAATTGCATTAGCGCCGTTCCGCTCTTTGTCATGACACGGCGCAGTTACAAGAATGGGGGGAACATGGAGTTAGGGGAGTTGGCTGACTCTCGGCAAGTTTTGGTCAATCATCTCACACGCTGTTATAAGGCACATTGAATAATTCACAATGCAAGTTCTTGCGGGAAGCTATGATATCGTCGAGTCAGCAATACTAAGGCGATACTTCTCCCGATCCAGGAGGACTGTCAATGCCAAGAACGCCTGGGGTACGGGTTTAATGTTCAAACCGGTGACGGAATAGTTACCAGAGGTTTACAAAGTCAGCATTTACACCGCTTCACCGTTTCACATCAATGTGCTTGGTCGTCCCCGGGCTGATTTGATGAAGCCATAGGCAAGCAGTGGGGGTGACATTGCTTCCACGACCATCTTGATAGGATTCAGCCCATACATCTGACAAAGTGCTTGCTCAATACCTAAGTTCATCACTGTGGCTCAAGCTATCCGCAGAAAAAAAAGAAAAAAAAAAGAGTGATTATTATGCCGAAAGAGCTTCTCTTCGTCAGAACAATATCTAATCCTGCCAAATATTGGAAGAGTTACGTACCTGTATGTTGCTGGAGAACTTGCTGACTGCACCTTCCGCTGCCGATTCCTGTTGGCCCCACACCGAGGATCTCACCTTCCACCGTGCAGTGGGCTGAATCTGCGCTGCGCCGTCCCGAGCTCATCCCCTAGCTTAGCCGTGCCCCGTCCTACCCCAAGTTTCCATCACTCAGCCTCGTCTTCTTCCTCCAACACACGCATCTTCGTCGTCGCGTTCACCATTCGAATTTATATACCACCGGCGCGATGGCGCAACAGGACGCGCCGAAGCTCCTCTGGAACCCAGACAATGTCAAAGACGTCGCCGAGTCCGTCGGAATTCCCAACCTGAACGACGATGCCTTGCGCTGCCTGACGCAAGATGTCGAGTATCGAATCGGACAAGTCCTCGTCGAGGCGCTGCGCTTCATGCGTGCCTCCCGTCGCACCACTCTGACCGTCAACGACATTAGCACCGCGCTCAAGGCTCTCAATATTGAGCCTCTCTACGGATACGACTCGACGCGTCCACTGCGATATGGCGAGGCTAGCTTGGGACCTGGGCAACCGCTCTTCTACCTCGAAGACGAGGAGGTCGACTTTGAGAAGCTCATCAACGCTCCTCTGCCCAAAGTGCCGCGTGATATGAGCTTTACGGGTATGTTACTTCGTCTTATTCAGTTTGTCTCCACCCGTCTCGTCTGCTAACTGCTGCGTTTCCAGCACACTGGCTCGCCATCGAGGGCGTCCAACCCTCCATCCCGCAGAACCCCACCACAGCCGAATCACGAAGTCAAGAACTCGTACCAAAGGGTCAGGGTGCTAACCCTGCCCTCGCTGCCCTCGCCGGCAACGACAATCTCTCCTTCCGTCCCGCCGTGAAGCACGTCGTCTCCAAGGAACTCATCCTCTACTTCGAAAAGGTTCAAAACGCCGTCCTTGATGACAATCCCGACGAAGAGGTGGTGCGCCTTCGCCAGGCGGCCCTCGAATCCGTTCGCGACGACCCGGGTCTGCACCAGCTGATCCCTTACTTTATAAACTTCGTCGCGAACCAGGTCACCCACCGTCTCGACGACGTCTTCACACTCCGCCAGGCCATGGAGCTTACGGCCGCCCTCATCGCAAACACCAAGCTCTACCTTGATCCCTACGCCAACTCCATCGCCTCCCCTGTGCTCACGTGCATCCTTAGCCGTAAAATCGGTGCCGAGGATGGTGCGGACGCCATGCGTGAGCAATACCAGCTCAGGGAATTCTCCGCGTCCCTCCTTGGCCAAATTGCGCGCAAGTACGCCGCCTCGAACAATCTGCTACGGCCTAAGTTGGTGCGGACATGCTTGAAGTTCTTCATGGACCCCGATAAGCCGCCCTCGACGCACTTTGGTGCCATCACGGGCGTTGCCTCCGCTGGTGGTCCTGAGGCGGTGCGGGTTCTGGTTCTCAAGTGCCTGAGGGCCTACAACGATAACATTCTGCAGCCCCTCAAGGACAAGGGCGAGAGCATCGAGTTTGAGATGCTCGTCGGTGGAATTCTCAAGGCCATTGCTACAATGATTGAGGACGATAGAACAACCGTCAATGGCATAAACGGAAGCGCCAACAGCTATGCTGCTGAGCTCAACGAGTTCATCGGGCCCATCCTCGGAGAACGGCTAAATAGTCTAGGCAACCGGAGACTAATCAAACACGTCTTGGATGCTAGGAATATTGAATAGCAGTCCGGCTAGTGGTGATGGTCTTTGGAAGGCGTAACGGCGTTTGGATCAGGCATGGCAAAACATGGTTTTAGGGAGGCATACCACATAAATTGAGACCATTGGCGTCCGGCAGTTAACCTATTTTCTACCCACTGTCCCTCGAGTAATGCCTGTGCTTCGTTATTCGTGAGAGAGGCTGACGAGGATGTTCACTTGATTTACTCTGCTTGTACTACTCTGTCCCAGCTCGAAATTCGTCCTCAACGTGGATATAAGCTCAATATGCTCTTGCGTTTATGTTGTCCCGGCGGAACGATAGCTTACAGCCAACACTCAGTGAACGACCACACAGAATGGTTGGAACAATTGATTAACGTGCTTGTTACTCAAGGGAATTCGTTTTACAGCTTTCAGTCTATACAATCCCTCTCGCTTTAAGCTTAGGGAGGCCGAACGCCTAGCAATTTCCAGGCGCCAACCAATAAAACTCCAGGTTACCCCCCAAATCTCCCATCACTCTTCGTCTTCCTCTCGGCCCCTTCAGTCCTTATGACCGGTCGTCGTCTCCTTGCCGCGTCCCTGTACCCGATTACCACGTGCCACCACTTCTACTGACCCTTTTGGCGCTCCCTGACCACCAACTTCCTTCTCCATTTACCACGCAAAGGCGAGGCCGACAGCCGCGACGAGCGAGCTGGACCAGATAACCCAGCCCCACTTGACAATCTCAGGCTTGGCGAAGCCGAGAGCGAAATCGTAGGTCAAGTGGCGGATACCGTTGAAGAAGTGGAAGGTAAAAGGCCAGGCGACGAGGAACTTGAGGCCACCCTTCGCGGCGAGCGGGAGGGCACCGAAAGCGGCGATGAGGGACTGGCTCTCGACGTGCCAGCCGAGGAGGGGCGCGACGAGGTAGGTGCCAAAGTAGACGTAAAAGGCGGCTGAGAGACCGCCGCCGGTGATACGGGTCCAGATGGAGGCGCCGAACCAGGTCTGCTCCATCTTGTAGATTGTCAGGTGCGGGGAGATGGGGCGGCTGAGGCGCTGCTTTGCGAGGAGCTCGAGGCCATCTTGGGGGGTGAGCTTGGTGGTTGCGACGGGGCTGTGAGGTTGGACAGGTAGTTAGTATTTTGAGACTGGTTTATCGAATGTTTGTACGACTGGATGTTTGCTTCGTTTGTGAGGGAATAGTCGGGAGCATGTGCTTCAGAGGCAAAAATGAGACGTGGGAAAGGCCAATTGCGTACCGAGACTGGCTCGTCGACATGCTTTGTGAAGCGACGATCTTGGGGATCTGCTGGTTGAAGAAAACGGAGGGCTTCGCTGCCGCTGTCGATTGTATCTCTCGTCAGCCTTCCATTGTCCTATCATCCATCCGGGGCATCGATGATGTAAACGAACCTCGGCGCATGGCCGACACGCCCACCCTTTGCGCAATCATTGTGTCGGTATAAAGCGTGATAACTTGGTGATCGGTACGATTTCGATATCGGGGAGGGCGCGTAGGGAATTCGGCCGCAGGCGGAGGGGATTCGAGTCGTCGGGGGTTTGAGGGTGTTGATGTCAAGCTCCTTGCACCAAGGAAGAATAAATTGGAGACTCTGCACCTTGGATCGCTGGACTCTCCGATTGAAGCGAAGCACGGGAATCCCCTCGGCTTTTCGGCTACCCGTTGACCAATCAGCGCAGACCACTTCCTAAGCTTTCTGGACCACGTGATCTCCGCCGCAAAGGGACAGGAACCTCGCTGGGCGCTGGCCGGAAAAAAGCTTAGACGAGAACCTCAGGGTAAGGACGGAACCCACTGAGTTTGCATTAGCTAAGCACCACCTTACGCACAGACCAGCCTGGAAAATTCTCTCGTGGCACACAAAACCGCGTCGACCTTGCGCGTATTTTCCTCTCCCTTTTCCCTTTTCCTCTCCTCAGATAGCAACGGCCGCCCGCCGCAGCATAACTAATGGTGGCCTTTTCTCCCTTGGGAGAGAATGGTTCACCCATGAAAGGCGCTGCTGGTGAAACCTTTGGGTTGTGGGTGGTTGGAGAGTAATACTGGGATTGGATCCTTCGTTGATCTCGGGTTCTGGTTTGCACCGTCTAGAAACCGTTTCATTTATAGGCATCTACATACTTTCGTCCTTGACGTGATGTTGCTGTGGTCTTGTGAGGGCATGCCGTACGCGCTTGTCTTAATCGTGTTCAGCGGTGTTGAACTGGTCCTTCTTGGCAACAGCCGATACTCGGGGCCCCGTTGTCGTCGACTCCCATGAGGTCAATCTACCTTACCCATGTACTGCTGAAGCAGACAACCACGCCTGCCTCACGAAGTCACGAAGGCTTACGTACCTCCAAGAACCAGACGCTAGCGATCTCGATGTCGTTAGAGACATGCTGCAGGTGCTGTTCCGCGTTGCCACCCACCAGAGGGCATGCTGAGCAAGAACGTGAAGCTATCGATCATCAGTCTGGCTACCCGTAAGTGGTCTCGACATATCTGATTTCGTTGGATTGCTTCAACGTCTACAGGCGTTGGAGTAAGCCCAAATTGAGTACTATGTCTTCAAAGAGGTTCCTGTGCTGTCATTGGTAATGATTACCCTCCTCTTATCATGGCTGTCCGGTTGTCTCAACTTCACGTGAATACTCCCCCATTTCTGATCTCGGTGTAATATGGACGATCATTGACATGTAGTACCGTCGGTCTCGGACTTTTTCCAAGTAGGGGCACTACCAACTCGTAGTGGCAGTTCCGTCAGCCTCACATCTTTGGCAAGTAGCTTAAGTCAGGAGTTAATAAGAATAAGCTTTCAGGGACGATGGTCTAACTGAGTTTGCGGCCCGCGTTGGCTTCATATGGGCTTTACATCAACCTACACTCAGGCGATATGTAATTGAGCCTCTACAGTTGCGGCCTGTGCAACGTTCCTTTGTTTGGGGCTTCATTCGATTTTTCCAAGTATTGGGGTTTGGTTATTACGCTACACTGACTGATCAATCGTGTTCACTTGCGGCATGAGTAGTGGTTGTTCTGTCGGCAGTGCCGAAGCTGGCGCCTCGCAACCGGTAACGCGGACAATAAGGTTTGGGTCTATGGAGATGCCTACGTCTTACATCAATCTCTTATAAAGATCAGGAGTAATGATGAACTGTGCGATACAGAGTGATCTTCAGGGAATACGATATTTAGCTGTTTTTGGTACCGTGAGCGAGTCAGAGCAACTGGCCGGACCACAGACGCAAAGACTCTGGTGCCGTCAATTGATGGGTCGCGTTACCAGATTTCGGCAACTTACGCCGTGCGGTGGCAGCTAGCACTCTGCTGTAGGTACAGACCATTATAGCGGAACCTACAACTGATCCCCTGATCGCTCCTTGTCGATATCCCAATGTTGCGAGAAAGTGTCCACGCATCAGAAGGAAATAGCCCGGCTCACAAGCCTGCCGAAGAAAGCTTGTGTGACTGAGCATGTTTCGCAACCGGCTTTAATCAGTTGACGTTGGTTTTTGGGCTGAGCGACATGCACATCTCTGTCAACTGACGAAATAATCTCGGATCATTGTACGGATAGCCCACTCTCTCTGATGAAGCATAACGCCAGATGGGTCCACAAGACCAGTCGTTGACAACCTGGGTCCTGGTTAGTGACAACGGTGGGAACAGCAGAAATGACCATGACATGAGTCCGATCACGACAACTCGTATAAACAGAGTTTCTCTGAATTGGACTCAGCAAATTAATGACCGAAAACCTTTGGTGCTAACATCTGATAACGTGAGTCTCGTTACGCATTTAAATGAAGGCGTCTCCTTGAGGCTATGCGTTCACACTGCCTGTCAACCTTACATCAACTCTCCAAACAGTCTCATCCACCGTCGATTTTGACCCAATAACTTTATTCGTAGGTCATTCACCAAGAGGTACAAACTTCCACAGTATGCTCTACTGACCTGAAGATAGAAGATGAAGCTGTCTCTCATCCTCACCGGACTTTACGCAGCCGGTACTGTCACGGCAATCACCAAGAGCTGTCAACCCTTCACATTCTCGTCCGCGGGAACTGCTTGCACAGACGACTACGGTTCCTGCACCATGGGAAGATGCAAGGACAAGTTCCTGTGGCTCAGGTGCACTTGCCCCGATGACTACCCTCACGTCCACTGCGGCCAGAAGTGCAAATGAGCGGGATTGTGAGAGGAGTCTTTTCGAAGCTTGTGTGTTTGGATACCAGGGCGTATGACAGATGTGAGGATCTGACTCCAGAGAGAGCGTATCATTGCATTATTGTTGGAAACAGCTCTCGAATTTCGAGTCTAAGCGAGCGGATGGAGTATCATCGGCACATACTCAACATGAAGTCTTTAGCTCGTTGCGTGTTCGCTTTTGAGAAATTACAGAAATTTTCAAGCCTTTATTTCCGCCTCATCGACTGGCTTTTTGTCATCCTTTCCACGGGCCTCCTCCTTTAACTTGGCATCGTCAGGCCTGCTCAATTCCACTTGTGGCATCAAGAAGAACGCTACAAAGAATGCGACGGCCGCAAGCCCTGCCATGACTAGGAAGATGATACGGAATGCTCTTCTGTAGCCAGGTAAGATAGCAGCTCTTAGCCTTTGGGCCTCGGCCTGAGGCAGGCTGGATAGCACTTGCTGAGGATTTGCGAGCAGCTTCCGAGACTCGTCATCTCCCAGGCCAAGGCTAGCTATATTGCTTGCCAGGATATTATTACTGCAAAGCATAAGTCAGTTATGCTGGAGGATATCGTGGGTACTTGTGGAGTCGGAAGGATGTGTAGACTCACATGATGGTGCCGGAGATGGCAAGTCCAATAGTGCTTCCGAAATTACGTATAAAGCTATGCATTGTCAGTCATCTCTTACCACATGAGACGATATGGAGATGACTTACTTCCTGAACGAGGTAACCACTGCCATGTCCCTTCTACTCACACCGGCCTGGATCGCGATCAGTGCCCTGAAGGTGCGTCAGTTAGCTCGACTCAGTGATTCGACACGGGCTTCTCTGCATCACTTACGGCTGTAATGTATTGCCAACGCCTGCACCAACAAGTAGAGAGTATCCAACTTGCTTCCCCACGCTTGAAAACTCGTCGAGTGTCGACATCAAACCGATGCCTACGGCCCACATCACCCAACCTAGCAGGATGCACTCTCGGTAGCGCCCAACTTTGTGTACCACGAGACCTGCCAAAGTGCTAAAGAGTGTCTGCGTCAAAGTGACTGGGAGAAGCATGGCGCCGGACTTCGTTGCCGAGTACCCGTA